CACTCTATCATGCATTGCAGTAATGGCACATTTTACCACATATTACCACAACTCAATAGTGTCAATGAGCCCTAAAGAGCAGTTAAAGAGCACTTACAGACATGATTAGGATTTATTCATACATTTGTGTGTGCATTAACAGCATCACAACTAACCAAAAAACATAGTCGACCCATTTATTGCCAATACCGCAATGCATCTATATTTATGTGTGGTGTGTTAAAGGGTCAGGTGTGTTTTTCCTGCATTGATATGCTCTGAGGGTCCATCAAAAATGAAGGGGATAGTTCCCAAATAATGCATGTTACTGTGTGTGTCAATTAACTTGGCAATGTAGATCAACATTCATGGAAAGGCACCCACATAAGCAGGAATTCAGACAAATAACACTACAAGCAGCACTGGGCAATGCTGACTTCTGTAAAGCAAACAGTGTCCACAAGGTGATATTGTTTTCCTTAAAATGTTTTTAGTAAATGTATCTTTTTACAAGTACCTAGATTAATAAAGCTAATTTTCAGGCAAAAATAAGAAAATTGTGATTTTAGGTAAAGATACACCAAGTTGAAAGTACATTGAACACTGTAGCAGACTTAATAGGAACATATAAGGTAGCATCAATTGAAAATATACCCTTCTACAAGGCCATGCATGTCATCATTTTACAAAAATAAGACAAAATGTATAAATGTTACATATTAAAAAAAATTATAAATATTGCATCATTGTCTTACTATTTTTCAAGTTAAAAACTAGGTGATTCTCTTTTGCATCAGCTAGGGTGGTATTTTTATCTATATATTATAGTCCTGGCTTCATAATAACATAAGAGTTGGTTGAGCATGGCATGTAAGTGGTACCCACTGCCAAGCACACTGGCACTCAGGCTCAAAGCAAGACAAGAAACAGTTGGGCTAATACATCAAATTGTAATTTAAGTTAGCCATATGTAGGCCATTTACACTACCTGGCATAATTAATGGGATAAATATCCAGTTTAACAAAAAAAAGATGAGAAGGTTTGGCCATCGGTGAGACAATATTTGGATACACAAAATGAAAAGCCATGTACCTTTTTTTGTAAGACTAAAGCATTGATGACAAATGACTATGAGAAAATGTAAAACTTTATCAAGCTATCATCCGTTGTTGTGATGGAAAGCTTGTGTCATTTAAGACCCCACAATCAGTAAAGCTTTGAAGGTAAAGGGGCAGACAGATTGACAGACTTGAACTCTTCATATTAGCTGCAAAGTACTTTGCAAAGGAATTGTCCGTTACCTTAGTGAATAATGGAAAGCTGTGTTGACCTCTATTCTTTAATTATGTGCACGCAAAAATCTTTTTTTTTTTTCTTGCACATGTTTTGGTATTTGGTATTTTTAGCACATCGCCTAAGGTAAGTGAAAATTCCCTTTCAAAGGGAACAAGCTTTAAAATGAGACTTGGAAATCACTCAAAGTGAAAGAAATAGCACTTTTTATTAACTGTTACTTATTTGGAGAATGAGAAATATTTTCTTTTCCATCATATTTATATTTATTAAGGATCTGAAGCCGTTATGCCGGTTGCTTTTTATGTAGAGCACGCTAATTTGGTTTATGGAATAATATCCATAAAGTTACTATACTATATCTAGAATGAAAGCCATAAAGATCGGAGCATATTTTCTAGCACACAGCTGACATCTTGTCCAGTCATCGCATATAAAAATATCCCTGACTGTCACTTCTAAGACTTCCTTGGCTAAAAATGGGTGCTAGCACAGAGCCATAGATTCATTTTTCATTTTTGTACAGGTATGGTAGCTTCCGGTCTTTATCTGTGACTGTTAACACTTCTTAATGTCAATTTTTGCTTTTTGTTTAGGTTTAGGTGGCTCTTTTCATGTGTTGCTCAGAACTGCAGATGTAAAGGAATAAAACATTAATCCATTCCTTAATAACAATGAAAAATAATAAATGCCAAGGATAAACAGAAGACTAAAAAAAAAAAAAAAGGTCCTATATGAAAATGACTCTATTAGCTTTAATTTTTCAGGGCAATTTCTTTGATGTATACAGTAGGTATACTTTGTAGTCATATCATAATTCAAAGCAATGCAGCAGCTTTTTACATACCTGTTAACTACATCACTGCTGTAATGTATATACTTTCCAAACACAGTACTGTCAAATCAAAAGAGACATTAGGACTAACCTGTATACAATACTACAGGCGACATTTGCATATATCTAAAAATGGTAAAGCTTGGCAGTGTTTTTCCTTTTTTGGAGATTCATAGCTGTCAATAGATTGTGCCAAATCTCTATTTTTTATGTTTATACATTATTATGTTTTATCTGCTTGAAGTTAAAATATGAGCCAATTAGTTTATCTTAAACAAGAACCCATTGTCTGTGTAGATTATATTTGTTATCACACTGTGCTTAATATATGCAAAATACAAACATCAATATTGATATTAATATCTAATGCTACCGGAATTATTTCTCAGAATAAATGTATTGATCCTAATGCACCATTAGATACTGTAACTATTGGTATGTAGTTGCATGTGACTGTTACATAAATATATACTTGAACATACATGCATGCATGAACAGATACAGATATTCATGTATCTCTCATACATATATAATTATAATACTCTAATCAGCTGATATCTCATTGCAAAGGTAATACAATTCTGACCATTTTTCAAACTGAAAATATCATAAAAATCACCCATTTGTCTTTGCTATAATATGTATGCATAGCACATTTTGTTTTGCCATAGAACCATGCCAACTTTAAGGAGGTGTTAACAATTGTTGGCCTGTTTTTTGGAATATGAGTGCATTTGTGTGTTTGTCAATGTCCTCGAAAATCCATGCACACATATACACATATGTATGCACATTTAAATATAGAAATATACAGCTATATACAAAAACTTCTATACATTGTGCAATGCTTAGGCAGCCACGTACATCTCTGGCCAATCAGATCACACGTCAATGGCTGCCATTTTTTTTAATATATTTTTTAACATACTTCCTTTTGTCTTTTACTTGGACAGTTTTACTTTACTAATCTGTAATAATTTTTATGTTATTACTCATTATATGTTAGTAGAGCACGTATACTTTCAAGCATAAGTTTCCCTGAAATGTATGTACAATCCTTGGTGCAAGCATAATTTACCTATGGAACCGTTTACATTATAAAATGTACAATCATTGTGTCCCCTTTTTTATGGATTTCATTCTCCTATTCCTATAAGGAAATTATCAGGATAATGTCATTCAAGAATAACTATCATAAACACTAATACAGCTACACAGATAGCTGGATTTCATGTGTGTGCACGTGTGTGTATGTGCTAGTGTATGTGTGTGTGGGCATGTGCATTGATATAAATAGATAGATAGTGTGTGCATGCAATTTTCGTCCATGCATTAATCTTATTTCACAGTTATTTTTTTAAAAATGGAATGTAGGTAAGAGTATTATAGTGTGACAGGATATTAGAAATTCTAACGTAACACCTTTAACACTAGAGGAGGCCTGTAACATATTAACCTTCAATGCATACTTCTCCAATGACCTGATGTGATCCAATTACAAAGTGTTAAATCATGGGCGCTCCACCAGTCTCAGATATACAGGTCTATAGTAGCAAAATATTAAGGCAGACATTATCCACTTTACAGACAGAACACTGCTGTCAGACCAGATTGTTAGGTACATATAAAGAACATTAGCATGCAGTTATTTTACATACAGTTTGAATGGTATTATATTACCCTTATTAAACCATGGCCTTATTGCAGTCACATCTGAGCAGGTTAACAACAGACTCTTCTATCTATTTAAAAATAGATTGGTTATATATAACCTTTGAACCCTGTGCAGCATGACGCCTTGACATAAAAACGATGAAGGTTCCTTTTAAGCTTTTACACATCTATGGTTTAACCCCACCCCTGTTCTTGACATCTAACCTTGATCAATAATGAAGTGATACCCATAGTAGCTAAGGAGCAGTGGACCATGGTGCTTACATTTCCATTCCAATGAGGAAGGTTTCAATGGCTATATATTCAATGTCTGCAGATCACAGTACACATTAAATTCCTTTTAATGATGTATTAAATATTGCAGCACAGACACACTGCAGTGGCAGCTAAGCAGCTCTCTAGATTATTTAAAAAATAAAACCCAAGTATCTGTGGCTTTGATATACAAATAACAGAATCCTAACACAAAAATATATGTTCCTCATTAAAATATGGAAGGCCTTTTTCTTTAAAACAGCTATTTAATTCTTAAAGCATGAAATGTTGGGCTGTATATATGTGCATTGATCTTTTAAGTGCAATTGAACTTCAATATAGGATAAGCAGGGCGTACCCAACAGAATACGAATAAATTCTAATACTACTTTGCAAAATACTTTCTAGTTATGGTAATATCTGTGATTTGATTGCAAAGTACATTTCTTTGGAAAACACGATTTCCATGAAGCCTAATGAGTCCTTTCTCAAAGCCATTATTATTTGGGTCAAGAAACCTTTCTGGCAGTGAAACCTCTGGCTGCTGCAGAACCTCTTTTAAAGAGTTACCATCAATAGTGTCTAATTATTTGGACACAAAGCTCAGCATTGATGTGACACTTATGTATCCCAAGAGGTTGTACAGCTGAGTATTTTTAGTGTTAGGAACTATCCAGGGTGATGGGCCTAATGCCAAATAAGGCCTTCTGATTTTTTTCGTACCTAGAGCATTTTCATTCCTATACACTCTGCTCAGAAATGCTACCACATTTCTCTGGCCTATCAGTGGTATCAGTAGATGTTCCATGAGTTTGAATTTAGTTGCAGATGCAATAAAACATCACTTGTACAACTATTGCTTTCCATGCAGAATTGACACATCTAGAAAAAATTACCTAGCAGATTATTGCATTACACAAATTCTGCAGCTGCCCCCATACAATCTTGCACGGGGCAGGTAAGTCAAACGTCAGTCAGCATTTTGGTTATATTTACATAGTTTGTATTTCCTAAGGTGCAGTTTGCAGTTTTTAAGTTCTTGTCCCTAAAATCTTCATTACTATGATTAACTCCTTCTTGAATCTCCATGTAGTCAGATTTACTGAGAGTGGAGGCACTTCTACTTTTTTGAAGGTCAGGGGAAGATGGGATCTTTGGACAGCTGGTTACTTGCAAATACTGTGCTTGCTCCTCACCCTCTGTCTCTCTGTGATAGAAGTAATTGAAGTTGGAGACTATGACAGGAACTGGTAAGGCAATGGTTAACACGCCTGCAATTGCACAAAGAGATCCTACTATTTTGCCACCTATTGTTGTAGGGACCATGTCTCCATATCCTACTGTTGTCATGGAAACCACGGCCCACCAGAAGGCATCTGGGATACTGGGAAACTGAGATTCTCTCTCATCAGCTTCTGCAAAATATACAGCACTGGAGAAAAGAATTACACCAATGAAGAGAAAAAATATAAGAAGGCCTAGCTCCCTCATACTAGCTTTCAGTGTCTGACCCAAAATCTGAAGGCCTTTTGAATGTCTAGAAAGTTTGAAGATCCTAAATACTCGAACCAGTCGTATTACCCTAAGAATTGCTAAAGACATTGCTTGCTGACCCTGCTGTCCGTCTTCTGTTTTTTCAGCCAGTTCTGTACCCAGTGTTATAAAGTAAGGGATTATAGCCACTATGTCAATAATGTTCATAATGTTAGTAAAAAATCCAGCTTTGCTTGGACAGGCAAAAAAAAACGAACCAAAAACTCAAAGGAGAACCATATGATGCAAAGTGTCTCAACAATAAAGAAAGGGTCTGTGAAGGTGTTTGATTGTTGGTATCGATGTGTGCTGTTCGGGTATGGGTAATAATCTACAGGTCTCATAGACATATCCTCACTTTCATCTCTAAAAACAGGCAGTGTTTCAAGGCAAAAACTCACAATAGAGATTAATATCACCATAACTGATATAATTGCAATAATCCTGGCTGGACCAGAACTTTCTGGATATTCAAAGAGCAGCCAGACCTGCTTCTGGAACTCATTGTCTGGCAAAGGGCGTTCCTCTTCTTTAATAAATCCTTCATCTCCCTAAAGATCTCCATGGCTTCCTCACCAAGTTCATAGAAACGTATTTCCTCTGAGAAGATATCCAAGGGCACGTTTACAGGTCTTCTTAACCTGCCTCCAGACTGGTAATAGTACAAGATGGCATCAAAACTTGGTCTGTTTCTGTCAAAAAAATATTCATTTCTTAAGGGATCAAAATATCTCATCCTCTTTTTAGGATCCCCCAATAATGTTTCGGGGAACTGAGATAAGGTTTTCAACTGAGTTTCAAACCGCAATCCTGAAATGTTAATAACAACTCTCTCACAACATTCATGATCGGGTTCAGGGTCATAACTGTCTTGGGGGTGACCTGGCAAAGCTGAAGCTTCATCTGTGGGATCTCCAGTGGCAACTGTCATAGTTATGGGCCAATTAGGTGCACAGCCTTTTTCTCCTGGTTGGCTGCTGGAAAGTGATCACAATGAAGCACTGTAGAAATGCGTGCACTCAGAATAGGAAATATTTTCTGCAAATGAGAGGCATATAACCTCTCACCTATAAAAGAGGAGAAAATAGTTAGAGTATGGGTCATAGCTTTTCAAACCAACAGACCTGAGATGTTACTAGATTTGTTTTGAACAAAATTTCCCAGAAAGAAACCATGAGCATGGAGAAGGTTAAGATGCTGAAATGTTCCATAGATCAATGCACCCTGGGGTGTTGTATGGATTAAAGGTATGCGTCCTGTGTTACAGAAAAATATGTAGTATTTTAGGGATGGATCTTAATGTTCTTCAGTTGCGGTAAACTAAAATGAGATCCCATGGGCATTAGAAGTAATCTACATTACAAGGACATAGAAGTAATGACAAGAATGCTTCCTGTATGCAGCACTGTATTTAAGCAGTGTTCACTCTTCTCTCACACACACATCAAGTTCTTTCGGTCATTTAATAAAGTCTGTATTGTCAAAGATAAAACCATGCATCATGGTATAGCAATTAAATAAATGTTGAAATTAATTATTACAATATGGAATCTTAATATAGAGAGCAAAATCATATTCAAAACCACTATATGATCGTGTAATGAATGTTTTCAATAGGAAATCTTTAAAACACAGCATGTAATTGCAGGCATTTAAACATTCAAGAAAATATTCAAGGTTTAGAATAATCAATTTCTTTAACAGGTGCATTTGCATTGTGAATCAAGCAACAGGAAACATGCAGCAAATGCCTGTAGATCTAGACAGAGACCAAACATGCAACATGCTGATTAAAACAAGATGCTTAAATGCGATCATCAAATTATGTCAGCATTTTCAGTGTCATTCAGAACCTGTATGAAAGCACTGAAACAAGACATTACCTTGAGAAACAATCCTCCAGGTTTCTTAGTAACCAGGCAATGTAGACTCTGCCCTCTGGAGAATACAATGAAGAAAAACAGATTTTCTGGCATCCTATAAATTTGTTTGTCCTAAGAATCCAAAATATGAAATCAGCTGATGCAAAAATGGGGGATTCCTGGGTAAAAGCAGCTCATTCTTCTTGAAGCGAAAGGACAACATTGGTCTGGCAGGTTCCCTTGCTTGAAATCCTCTGTTAAAGCATATAATGTGATAGATGGAAGATGCAAAGCTCAGCAAAAAAAAAAAGGAAAAAAAAAAAAGTCTGGTGCCCTCAGGAGGAGTGACGTTGCCTGGTGGTAAGAAATAAAAAAACAGGAGCTAGGTAAAGCTGGTACATCATGAAACATCTGCAGAGACCCAGTTTCCAGATGCAGTAGTCACACAGCCGTCCCCCTTGTCAGCCTGCGTTATGATGCTTCGCTATTCTGCACTGCAACAAAACAAGAGGCAGTATTCACAGCACATCCCACGTTTCAGGGAGAGCTGAACAGAGGAAACGTAGGAATTTACAGAGCATACAGCATCTCAGAGAGCAGGCACATAGAAACAGAGCACCCTGGCTACATATGTGTTTGAATATGCACACACTGTGTCAACTGCACTGTTGATTCATCATTATTTTAGTTAGATTACAATAACTGCTATGATATTGACCTGGGGATCATAAAATGCCCCTGGACAAATAGTTCTGAGCACAAATAATGGTCCTCAGGTGGTTCACAAAAGCAATAGGAAATTGACCTCTTGCATGCGGTTACGAAACAAAAAGAAACATGTCAAAGATGCAGAATAGAGTACTCAATGTGTATCATTAACCATTTACTTACTAGAATGTAAAAAAATTGAATGAAATAAAGATAAACTGCAGTGTGCTTGTATAATGCCCTTCATCAGTCATCATAAGTAATCTGTGTAGTACATGAAGCCATATGAATATTACATGTGGGTATCACCAGAGCAGTTTCCATTATAAAAGGGGAAAGCACACTGCAGTTGTCTCTGAAGTATCCCAATTGAAGGGGCAATGCTTGCCCTCTATATAATCAGCCAAAGTTCTCAGAAGATGCTGTGGATCACCACCCCTTTAGGGCAATAAAGCAGGCTTTTTGTCTCTTGCCCAGGTCACACAGCTCACAGAAAAGACAAATGAAATGTGTATTCAAGTGTATTCTGCATAACAAATGAGCTGCCTGGGTACTGAGCCTTGAATCAATTGGATAGGTTTACTGACAGCAGACAGTAAGCTGACATTTGATCTATTGCAAAAGCAATCTTAGCAAATCTAATACTCTGCCTACTGAACATCTAAGATACATTCTACTGAAAAATGTGTTGTTTCTTATAGCACTACCTTTACCCTGCACCAGATAAATTAAATAATAATAATCATAATAATATTATACTCTATGTATAGACCATTGTTATCATTTTTTCATAACAGGAGACTCATTGCTGACGTTGGAATGGGGAGATCCCAAGTTCATCCCCCTTTTCTCTACCATTTCACTGCTGGGGACTGCCAGTCTATGCCATAATCCGACACATAATGAGAGCATGCCACTGATTTTTCTTAGACAATGCAGACTTGCCGTAGCTGAAGGGTTAAAGAAAATCCCTCTAGTCCTCTACCTACAGCAGCCACACTGCTATTTCTTCACAGCAACAGGGATTAGAGAATTAGTCTGGGGACAGGTGGGGCTCCGTATGATTTCTTTAGACTTTATGTTCAGAAATAGTCCTGGCCTTTTATTCTGAACATTACGGGAGCCTAGATTTGGGTTATAGTCATGGATAACACAATTGGGCATTGTCTCGCTATTCAAAAGGCATCACAGCAGTCCATTTTTCCTATCCATCGCCTCCCTTCCCTCAACATCAGAGAGATAGTACATTCCTTACAGTTCTCTGCACAGGAGGCTGGAATTCCCCTATTAAGTATAGGCTACAGATTCCATTAATGATCCATGTTCTTATGTTATATTAAACCACCAGATTAGGATCAAAAAACTCACATTGGCAGTGGCGCTCCCAAAACATGGTTAAAATAATCTTTTGTTAAAATTAATGGCATTAAATAATGGAAATACAGAGCATATGCATATGCTTATTCCATGATCCAGAAGGAAAAAAAAGCTTTACTGTCTTCAAGCCAAATTTAAAATATGCTTACCTTTTACAGACCATCACATTACTAAGGGTGGTGTCTTTAAAAACCATACACATGTAATCATGGTTTCTTTTGTTGACATCCCTTTGCTTGCAAGTAGTAAAGACTTTACACATTAACCAGCTACACAAAAACGATCCTTGTAGACGTAATTTGGCTTCTTCTATGCAAGTGGCCTTAATTGGTGTTTCATCACAGCAGCATGCACAGTGTTGATGATAATGAGCCACATTGCAGGCAGTTGGCATCCTATATTACACATGCTATTTACAAATTCTCTCTCATAGATTAGAACAGGTCACAATCTGCATGCAATGAGGTAATTGGCATGTTTGATTTACCCTTTTCATTGGAAATCTGAAGCATCCATTTACCCAGTTTGTGGTAAACCTTTACTTAATGGGGGAAAGACAGAAGCTTACAATTGGTTCTGCAGTAAGGCATGCAGTGCATACATAAAGACTTCACTGCACTGTAGTATCTCATCCCTACCTGACAGCACTTTGACTAAATGAAAGCAGCTTTCATATCAATACATGTAGCCTTAAGCTTTTTACACTGGAAAGTAATGTAATGTTGCTTTGTTAGCATATATGTTGGACTACGTTGCAGGGAAATCCTCGATAAACAAATAAGATGCTATAGAAAATCTTAGAGAATCAATTAGCAATTGTGCCAGCATTTAACTTTATGACAATATAGACATGATTACAGAATATAAGCATTTATAATTGAACTGACTCATTTAAATAGATTTTTAAATTAATGTTACTAATTCTATTAACATTCTTTTCAGGTATATATTCCTAACTCAAAAGGTACCTTCTATAGCTCTTAGGCTTCTCCAAATCTCCAAATTCCTTTTTGTTTTGCTGCTGTGATCCAACTTCCTGCTAGAGGGTGGCAACGTTCACTCTCCATAGTCCCACTGTCTGCAGGAAAGTAGCCACCCTCCCCCCCAGAAGTGCCAGAAGTGTCAGATTCTTCTAATCTTTCCCCTGCCACTCTGCCATCACTCTGCAGTTTATGAATAGAATTCATATCTAGAGCGGGCAATAATAATTACAAACAACACTACATTAAAATCCATTTTCAGGAAAAAAAAACCTTTTCCAGGGATTCCTAGCTATTCAATATTAAACAAAGAAAATTCTAAGACATGATTTTACTTGCTTAAATCCACTGTTATTTTATGAATTCCATTGACACTTCTAGTAGTAAAGATTGATGAACAGAAGCTGTAATTTAGGCCCATCTACTGGTCTTGTTACTGTCCTTCACGGCATATCAATTTCACTTAAAGTCCACAAGAACCTGTGAGGGTCTCTATATTGAACTCTTCTAAAAGCCAATAACAAGCAAAAAATTCCGGGCCCGGCCTGTAATGTAGGAGTGAAGATTATGGGTGCAAACAGTTCTATGTCCCAAGGAAATTGGCCATGCAAGATTACAGAATGGCACAGGTGTAGTTCAAAGACACTAGTGCAGCACCTCTTGAGAAATTGAAGATTCTCTAAAGCAACAGACATGGACAGCAGAAAGTGCATTTGAGTGCAGTGGTTATTAAAAAATATTTATTTAAGTTGACAATTAGCAACTTACATGGTACACATAGCGATAACTGGCATGAAACTGTAAACACACGTGAGCCCTGGGGGTGAATCTTCTCTCATCAGGACACGCTTCCTTAAAAGAATTCCAGCATTTGTGTTTGTGGTAACATAGATGAGTCAGCCTCACACTGGTCCACCAGTCACTCAGCTCCTCCAGAAAACAGGAAGCCCAGCCTAACTAGTGGGTAGTGAGATGGGAAAGGGTAGTAAGCTTTTTTTCCATGG